TTTTTAAAAATCCAATGTGTGGATCACATAATATTTCAAAAATTTTAACTTTTGAGTATAGATGATCCGCACTGTAAGTCTCAGCCAATTTTCGGTTTAAGAAAAACCAGCCGATAAGCTTGAAGCTTGAGTCATGAACAATAAAACTTATCGGTTAAATTTTTTAAAATGATATAATTTTTTTTGATTTAGTATTTTGAAGTTGACCAATTATAAATCCCGTAGGATAGATTGTATGGTTTTGGTTTTGATCTACTATTTTTTTTTTTTTTTTTTGTAATAAATTAAATTTGTTGTTTGCCTATATTTGTAAATAAACAGTGGTACAGGAAATAAGACGTTGTAGAAGAGTGCTCATGAGCGAACGATCGATCGAACAGACCGAGTGAGCATTGAGCTGATAAAAAAAACAATTTTTACTAAACACAGTTTTTGGGAAGCATGAGATGAAAAAAATGAGACGTTTCTTTAAAAATTTTTTTTTTTTACTCTTTGAAATGATTGACGTTATACAATATCGTTAATGATTATTATTTTTATTTATTTTATTAATTTTCACTATTCGTTCATCTGATGTTAAAAAAATTGATTTTTCCTTCCTTACCTTTTTGGTTTTATTTTTTTTTATCTACCACGTCCATCTATCGGAGAGGTTTCTTTTCTTTTGTTTGCTGCGGTTTAACCTTTGATCAACTAACTCCAGAAATAATCAATCACCGACAATAACTAAAAATAACGTACAATAATAAAATAATAATAAATAAATTGTTTGTTTATGTCGCAAACAAAGTAGTCTATCTATATATATACAACAAACAAAAATTACGTTAGTACTAAAGTGTATGATTATTAAATAAATACAGTCGTTGTGTAATAAAAATCACATTTGAATGTGCCATTGCAAAGTTTTTGTTCTGTTCGCGAATTATTCATTTTTTTTCGATTGTGATCCTTCTTCCCTTAAGTGAGTTAGTTATTTTTTTGATTGATATATAAACTGTTTGTATTTATCGATCGAGCAAAATTCTTTTCAATTCAACAACTCTCTTTCCGACAAAACGATAAATAAAAAATAACACAATAATACTTTTGCTTTTTTTTTCCGAAAAAATGCCATCGATCAATGTGCGTTATTTGATTTTTTTTTTTTTTTTCCCACAAGCTCACTTGAACAGGAGGCCGTCCTGCATAGTGGACACTGTTGCAGATCACAAAAAAATGATCAACATAACACATGTTATGGTGAAAGTTCTTGCAAAAGTTTGATTATAAAAGTGTGATCTTGCTGATGATCTGGACTTAGAGAGGTTACAGGTATATTCTAGTGAAGTTTCAGAAGCAACGGGCTATGTGTAACCACCTGCATATTATACAAATGACTGCTGATCTGCAACAGTGTCCACTATGCTAGGCCGTCCTATATAAGGAATGAATTTTCACAATTTGATTTCAATTTTTTTTATACAGTTTAAAATACTTTTACAAGGGTATCACATAGCCCATTCTTGCAATAAATCATGTGTAAATAATCACACAAATTTGATTGAAACTTTACTATTACACTTTGTTATCATATCTTTTGAATCCCTTTGAATCTTACAGCTTCCATAATACGATTTGCTTGAAGAAAAATTGTCTGAAATTAAACATTGCACAGAATGTAAAACCATTAAATCAGCTAAATTTCGTCAATTGAAAGGCAATAAATGGAAAGAAGCTGAGAACAACAACTTAGTGAAGGTAACGTGGGCAGAAAGTGTTGTTTTATGTAATATTTGTTTGATTTTTCATGCATTGTTCATTTTCCATCTCGATCATGTATCTTAATTTCGTTGTGTTTACGATCATTTCATTGACATTCGTTATGTTAGGCTATTTTGATTATATCGAGAGAGAAGAGTTAGGAAGAGAGTTATTCTTCAACCAAGTCAAAAACCAATCCTTTAAATACATTTTCAAGTAGTACAATTTAATTTATTGGACTGTTACAATGGTTTGTAGTGTGGTTACTTCCAACTTCTTAAATTCGTTAACAAAATAATTGTTGGTGAAGTGATTGTTGACAAAATGAATCAAACCCATATTTATTTCTACGTTATCAAATTCACGATTTTAATTGGTCAATCAACAAATTGCGTGGGTTACAAAACTTGTTATAAATTTACTATTCTTCTTGTACGTCTTTTTTATTTATTTTTAATTTTACTCATTTGTTTTGTTATGCCTTTATTTTTTATATAATAGCCTAAATAAACGTGAAGCAAAACTTGTAGTCTTTTATATGATAGGTAATTATTCAACATTCTTTGCAACAACTATTTTTTGAGAGCAAATACACAAGATTATGATTGTTTGTATTTATTTGTTATCAATATTAATTAGAGATCTCTATCTCATAGATACTTGGACAATTTGGAAACACAGAAACACCAAACAATTTAATATACAATTTTGATTACTAAAAGCTTATAGTTGAACCATTTCTTATTCCTTGAGCACATAAGGCTAATTCTGACTTGTCAGTAGATAGCAGTATATATATACTGCTATCTACTTACGTTAGACTGTTGCCTACTTATGATTAGACTGATACCTACTTATGATTAGACTGATACCTAATTATTTTTGGGTACCTGTTTTGGTGCCTAATTGGCTTGATATTCACGAATTCGTCGTGATTTGGGTTACGATTGATTCACGAATTCGTCACCATTTGGGTTACGATTTGACCCACAAATTCGTCATCATTTGGATGACGATTGATCAGTGAATTCGTCGTCATTTGGATGACGATTGATCGAAAAAATCAGTCTCCGCGATTTCAGTCTCTGCCATGTAGCATTTGTATCCATCGTCAACGCATGTTGACGGTCATCTATAAGTACCACTCCAGGAAAATCTTGTATGCGCCTTGAAGGGTGTCGTTTTCATTATAAATCCAAAAAACGTTTTCCATGCTCTGAGTGCAATTTCAAATTCCACCATGTAGCATTCGTGTCCATCGTCAACACGTGTGGACGGTCACCTATAAGTACCACTCCAGGAAAAATGAAGTTGGCCACTTTTGGGGACCCAAAAGTTCATCGTTATTGACGTCCATAACGATCACTAAAAGTGTACATAAAAGTCAATTGACATTGGTGCATGGCGTATTTCGTAAATCTGGCCACATGCCAAAAAAATCTGTCCCCGCGATTTCAGTTTCCGTCATGTAGCATTTGTGTCCATCGTCAACACGTGTTGACGGTCACCTATAAGTAGCACTCGAGGAAAATGCTTATTTTGGCCTTGTATCTTGAATTCAAATGCCAGGTTTGAGGCACGAAGTGCCGAATTGGCAATCCATATTTTGGCTTTGCATGTCACATTCGAATTCGAGGATGAGGCACGAAGTGCCGAAATTGTATACTTACCTGGTGTTATCCAAAGGCACAATTTTATAATATATATCTTTCTATAATAATTATACTTTTGGCTATCACCGAAAGTATACTATGTTTTGCGGTCCTGGAACACTTTCTCGTATAGTTGATGCTTTTGAGTATCATTTTTTCTTGTCAAAAAATCGACCTATGCTTTGTCATTTTACTATCGAAAAATTTATCCTTACTTTTGCGTATCACTTTTGCGTACTACCAATTCGAAAAATTCCACGCTTTTGCGTATCACTTTGGATCAAAAAATTGGATCACACTTTTGCGTATCACTTTCCGTATAAAAAATTGGATCATACCTTTGTGTATTATTGGAACGAAAATTTTATTCTTACTTTTATGTATCACCATATCAAAAATTTTAAATCTTACTTTTGTGTATCACTTTTATGTATCAAAAATTTTGATTACTTTTGCAGATCACCATATTGAAAATTTTATTCTTACTTTGCATACTACTGAATCTAAAAAATCGGATCAATCAGAATCGCACGACACAAAAACCCCTTTATATGATCCAGGTATCGGAATATTAATTTTTGATTTGAATTTTTTCGTGCTTTTATTTTCTGTATACAAAGCTATTTACTCGACACAAAAGCTTCATTAGAATTCACATTTAAAATTGTCCGAGTTGACAAGATTATATTAGCTAATTATGGAAGAAGTTTCTCAAGGAATATACATACCTGCACATGGCCCTCCAGAAATAAAACAAGTTAATGTTAAAAAAGGAGACATTTGTAAGATACTGCAAAGTGATTATAGTGATCACGTAACAATTTTCGGACCAAAAGGCTTTGATCTGATTTTATTTTGTGACGATGATGGTCAGAGCAAAGGCCTACCTGTAAATCCACTAGCAACTCGTTTGATAAGTCAACGAATAGGGCAAGATGGAATAGTTATACCAGGACCTGCTTTATTATTAGACGATTATAGAAATTAACTCTTGATGATTTGCGCTTTTTTGTTGAAAGAACCATTTGATATAGAGGAGGAAAAAAAAGCTGTAAAAATGATGAACGATGCGCTTAAAGATCTAAAATCACGTGGTGTAAAACACACTATAATAATGTAATATATTAATGATATAATAGAGTATGAGCTGTATCTTTTTTTCTTGCATCTCGTATAGGCTTAATTACCATGAACCATATAACTGCAAGTATCAAAAAAGCAAGAATCGCATACATAAATATAGGCGAAAACAAATTACTGGCCATGATAGGTACTGCCCCAACAGGTAATATCTCGGTCATTTCTATTTCAGCTGTATGATTTTGATCATTAGCATGACTATCTTCACTGGTAGAAGACTTCATATTAGATAATCCTGAGGAATTGGTGTTTCGAGGCTTTGTATCCTCATTAACCTTATTTATGGTAACACTGAGTTGAGGTGCATCGTTTTTGTCCATATTTTTTTTGCGCAAAAATTTACTAAAATCTTTTATAGGTTTATTAACTGCAAAGGTATCAGCGAAATTCGCTATATTTTTTATTATGGGGGCAATGGTACTCTGTCCCTCGTCACCTCCACCAATTATAGATGAATCAGAGGTTCGAAGCTTCGCTTCTCCTGATGGTAACTCTACCTGATTAGATAAGTTTCGAGATATAGTCACCAATTTCAGATGCTCCAGTTCACTGACTTTAGAAATTAAATCCTCCTTAATTCGTTCTAATTCAGCTAAATTAGATTTGAGGGATGAGATCTCAGATTCTTTTTTTAACGATTCTTCTTGGGATAAAACCAACTTACCTTTTAACGACTTTATTTCATCCTGAAGCATTTTTATATCCTTGTTTTTTGCAGTAATTTTGGCCTCAGATTCAGCAAGAGAAAGATTTGACCGGGTATTCTGGGAGATAAGGTTAGTATTTTCACTTCATAATCGCTTAGCCACATCGGCAACTTCCAAAGCTTGATCGTGCAACTTCTGAATCTCATTATTAGTTTTTATCGACTCGCGATCCCAATCTTTTCTTTCCCGGTTGAATTTTTTTTCTTGATCGGAATATTTATCCAGCAATTTTTTGCTACATTCCTTAATCTCAGCCTTGGATTTAAGAGTATGATATAATTTTCTTCAAGTTCTTCTTCACGTACACTTCCAAGGCGGTATCCTTTTTGTAATGTGGGATACTTTGTATCGGATTTATTCTTTTGTAACGTATGTACAGTCCCTTGAAAAAAGTATCGCTTCACCTGATGATCGACGAAAATAATTGGATAACTTCTGTGATATAAAAAGT